TTTCGTTGAGCAAGAGGCGATGTAAATAAATTCAATAACGTATACAGATGCAAAACAAAAGCCGCCTGCGATTACATGGATGGCTAAACAAAAGAAAAAAAAAACTAACTTTGCTTTGTTTCTTGGGATAAACGCGTGCTTTCTTCGCTAAAAAATGGACTCAGGCAAGGGCTAAAGGCAACAGATATCGGATCATTGATGATTGGATTACGGCTAGGAGAAATCCAGGGATCAGTGTCATTGTGGCTTTTTGCTTGCAATGAATGTATGGCACACAATATCAGGATCAGCGAATGTTTACGTTATTGCACTATTACACTGGCAGCTAGAAAGAACAAAGAGCGCGGGGAGCTGCAGTGAGTTTGATATAATCCAAGAGCCAGTGCGTCTCCTTCTTTGTGAATGACACGCTTTGTGAGCTGATTTACAACATACCTAAAGAGTGCTGGACGAGGGGGGAGGGGAGAAACATGCAGACCTGAGCCTGCGCCTCTTTTGCAGCCAAAAAGAAGGTTTGAGCCAAATAGTCGGGGAATGCGACAACACAGGGGTATAAATACTGCCAAGGCTGCTGCTGTTTCGTTGCTGCAATAAAAAAGTGCATCTTTTCTCCTATATTATTTTGTTCAACTATAGCCTTCTATTGCCTTCCTTGACATTCTTTGTATCAAGCTCTTGGCAACACCTGTCCTTTATTATTCTTCTTCTTCTTTCGTCCTTTTTACCTGCCTTTCTCGTTATTATTTATTTTGTCCGAACCATGGACGATTCATTCAACACCTACATTAATCAGTTCCTCATCGACCCTTCGTCGACAGACACCAATTCGGCAGATAACAACAGCAACGCAGGCATGGACGTCGATAAGGCAAGCGCTTTGGGAAGCGACCTTTTTCTGCAACTGCTTCTTAACAGCGTCAACAGTTCGGGCGATGCAACGGTCGACCTGAACTCGCTGAGCAGCTTCCAGATCAATAGCGCCGACCCTCTGTATGCTACGGCGGCTGACGCTGCAACGGGTGGTGTCGCTGACCCCAACTCCCTTCTTACCGATGCCTTCCTCTCGGCACTCGCCCCACTCCCGTACCCTGAGTCATCCGTCGTTCCTGAAAACCTGGTGGCACCTAGTGCCATCAGCATGCGCGGCGACGATGAGGCCATGCTGGTTGACACCGAGGAGACAGCCAGATCCGAGCCTATTGTACAGGATGTAACCACAAGCCCTATTGCTCGCCCGGCTCCGCAAAACAAACCAAAGGCACAAAGGCCAAGGCCCAGCAACGCAAGCAACCCGCAGAAGAAGACTATCCAACAGCAAGCGCTTAGCGCTGCATCTGCTACCATCAGTAAGCGTGCGTCTTCTACTGCCAGTGGCCCTACTGCCTCTGCCTCTGCCTCTGCCTCTGCCTCTGCCTCTGCTCCCAAAAAGGCGCCCGTCCCTGGCAGCACTACTGCAGCAGCCGCTGCTGCTGGCAATGGCAACGATGAAAGCCTGGACGATGAGTCGGCCATCTATGCCATGACAGAGGGCTCCGATGAGCTCGACGGCATCGATCTAAAGTCAATGTCGTCAAAGGAGCGTCGGCAACTGCGCAACAAAATCTCTGCACGCAACTTCCGAGTGCGCCGCAAAGGTAAGGCTTACTAATTAACCCCGCGCTTGCGTAATCGCTTTTTATTTTGTTTTGCAGGCTTGGCATGCGGTACCTATATTTCTCGGCCCTCCTTGCATGCTATTGGTGGCGCTTGCTCGGGGTTTTTTTCTCCGCCTGTTCATTTATTGCTGATCTCCTCGCATTTGTGCTGCCTGGCACCCGTTCAAATATTTTCTGTAGAGTACATATCGAACCTGGAGGGAGAGGTACGCATGCACAAGGAAGAGGCCGACGGGCTGAGGAGCGACCTCATCGCGTCAAAGAAGGAAAACCAGCAGCTGCGCGACGAGCTTCAGAAACTGAGGCAAAAGCTGAACGCGGCTACGGCTTCACAGGCATCTACTTCTCCTGCGACGATGCGCACAAGTACTGCTTCGGCTCCGCAAAAGCCCCTGCCCCAGCAGCAGACGAAGGCCGCTGCTGCCAAGCCTGTTTCCAGTTCGCCTGTTGCAACACCAGCAGTGACCCCCGCCATGGCCCCAGCTGCTCCTATGGTGCGCTTCAATCCGCACAAAGATATTGGCCAGGCAGCCGCAAAGAAGAGCGCTGCTGCTGGCTCCGCAACCGCCACCGCAACTGGCAGCTGGGCACCAAAGAACAACAGCTCCGGATACATCACCGTCAACACTACTATGCTCCCCATGGCATTTAGCACGAAGATCGACGAGCTTGCCATGGAGACCCGTCGCAAGCAGGCCGTGGATGCGCTGCTAGACATGGGTGAAGATGAAGCCCCTGAAGCCACAAACGCCTTAGCTGTACCGCCTGTTGAGCTTGTTCCAGCAATGCTGGAAGCGGCAGCCATCATTGCGGAGCTCTTGCTTCCGCAGATTGCGCTGGAGCTGTCGTTTGCATCGCCACAAACTTCGCCGTCGACTGGCTCGCCTTGCGCTGCCGTTCAGTGCTGACTTTTTTTCTGTTCTTTAACTTGCTCACTCTCACTAGTCTTGTTTTTTTCTTCCTACCGCCTCTTCACTTATCGTCTGTATATAATCACAAAAAAACAGTATCAACTTTTCAAAGCACCATTCGAGATTGACCAGGCGAAAAGAACTCGACAGATGTGTCGGAAATTTTGTAGTGCAATAACGCCGGCTTGAACTTTCCCGATGACTTTGTCTGAAGTCGAGAATGCAGATGCCCTGGAACTACCGTCAGCCGGCCAGCCACCTCCGTCGACGATCCAGACGACAGCCCCTCAAAGCTGAAGAAATAGTGCGATCTGCGAATCAACGAGCGGGCCAGTGGCTCTGTAAAGCCATCCAGAAACATTGTAACGATCAGTCTCGCCCTGTCATCCCCTCTCGCCTTATCCTCGACGATGCGCTGGCACGTGTTGACGATGCGCAAAACATAGTCGCACTCGTACCCTTGGTCAAGCAGCGAGCACAGCCCGTCGATGATCAACGTACAGGCGGGCAATTGGTTCAGCCAGCCAAAGAACTGGGCCCACTCAGTGACTGTGTAATGTGGTCTGGTAGCCGCTGGCAGCTCGCTGCAATCCAGGCCCTTGGGCGTTAGTGCGTTTACAAACTGGAACCCTTGCTGTTTGGTCAAATTGACGCCCATTTTGCGCATAATGTGCATGTAGTGGCTCATCGTTTGCGTCAGGCTAACCAGTACCACGGGGCTCCCTTCCTGTAACCCGCTTTGCACGAAATGCGGAACCAGCACGCTTCCGTCCGCCTCAATGTCACCGCACACTAGTGTGGTCGTTCCGCTCTCGGGAAGCCCTTGCGCCCAGTTGACGCTCGATGAAAGCGTCTTGTACATTTGGGTTTCACTTGATGGGTAAATATAATCACGACTGAAGGCTTGGAAGACTTTGTTTCCCTTTTTGGCTTGTTGGCTTTTTCACTGTGTTTTTATTTTGTACCATGTCTTATCGAGGTGCTTGATTGTGGGGGGGAGCGGGCAAGGCGAGAGGAAGATAATGTTTTGCGTGGTGGTGCATTGGGTTTTGTGGAAGGGCGGCACACTGTCTTGGCCCATTTCAGCAGTGCTTAGGAACGGCTCCTGACGAATTGAAGCTGCTAATTGCTACGAATATTGTACTGAAGCATTTTTCGGCGCAAAAGTACAGTGCAAAATAAGTAAACGCTTTACAGGGTGATCATTTGTTAACACATCTTTTCAGAATGGCTAATTTGGGACGAATTTTCCAGATCTAGATGATTCTCCGATAGTATAGTGGCGAGTACGCCAGTCTGTCACATTGGCGACCCGGGTTCAATTCCCGGTCGGAGAGCTCTTTTTTGCTTTTTCTAATTTTTGGGGGAGATTGTTGTACTGGACTCGGTCTTTTCCTGGTCACTACAAAAAATATCCAAGCTTGAACAGTCGGTGATTTTTGTGTTTCATTGACAATGCCCAACGCGTTGAAAGCGACATGTCAAGATTGATAGCATTGCCACATGTTTAACATTAGCTTTCAAGAGTTTATGTTAGTAGAAATCTCCTTTTCTGGGTTGGCCGTGCCTCTTGCGTGGATAAAGATTATACCTCGAAACAAATGGCTACAGACAACACTTACAATTAATCGTGTTTATTAACATACGAATTGTGCTTCCTTTGGTCGCTGTAGGATGAGATCAAGTAAACGACTGCGCCATTTTGTTCAAAGCGTTGTAGATAGGTTTATTGTTTTAAATCCAATACTACTTTGCTAGATGGGTGTGTTTGATAGAAATGAGAGTAAATGTGCTCGAAAAACCAGCAGCTAAAACTTATGCCAATACATGCCTATGCTGACAGTAACATCACGTTGAAATTCGATGAGTGCGCCATACATTTTTGATATGGTCGTTATAAACCACACTTCCAAGATCTCTCCAGCAAGGTAGCAATCATATTGAAGTATCCTTTCCGTAGAGATCAACACTGCTGAAAAGTTTGGACAAATAATGGCGAGTATGATTGCTGTTGTTGACGAAAAGTGGATGTCGTCCTTGGTTGTGTTGCAAAACTCCCAATACTTTAGGCAATGGCTTAGAGGATAGTATTTTTGGTAAAGTTTGTTGACGTTGGAACGCTTTCGGTGGAACTGGTCTCCTTGGCGACACGAAAGCCTCACCATGCTTAGTAAAAGCTTTACGAGCACGACAAGTTCATATAGTGCCATATCCGCTGTTACATGGAGGGACTGGATGTTGGCCAAATTCGAGCTTGTA